TGTATTTCTATTTTTGGAGAATTTGAAAATCTACACAACCAATAAAAAGTTGTGGGACTAAGTGATTTGCACTGTAGAAATAATTGTTACTGCGTATTGTGTGGCGCAGTAGTTTCTCAAAATATAATTTTAAAAATAGAAATGATGTAATACCGGTCACGTGACTTCCACAGTAATTTGGTTTGGTTGGATCGGCAAAGTGGGGACCTATCTATCGGTCCTTATTTTACTATCTCACAATGTTAAGGGGTGATTCAGAATTTGTTTGATTTCATCTGGTGAAAGTGTGTCAGCCTTCTTTGTAGAAATCTTACCCTGTTTCTTAAGATCATGTAGCTTTCCATTTAAAGTCTGGATAATTTTGCTTGCATGCATTTCCATTTAAGGTAATTTGATCTTTAATTACACTGTGACTTTTCAAATGTCTATCAATTGCAGCCATACAATTTTTTAATGACAAATATTCTTCGCCATCATCTCTTTGCACACCAACAACAAATTCGCATAATTGTTTTTCTAATATTTTTTTGTCATTAACCGATTCAATTGGAATTCCATTATGATGTTTTTCACTATAGTTAGTTAAAACCTTAACCCAGAATTCAGTATTTTTTTTTGTAGTTAATGGTATACCGGCTTCTTGAATGTCTTTTATTTGTTGATCGGTTGGAAGAAATGACATGTCAAAGTTGGGTGGTATTTGTTTCTATGGCACAACAGACAATAAGTTTAGTTTTACAATTTGACAATACAACAAACAAATATTTATTTACTTACTCGTGTTGCTTTTGGCATTTTTATGAATGGAACAATAAAATTTAGGATTTGAAAAATTATTTAATAATGATAAAAAAGAATGTGCATTTTAAGTTCTGAATAAGCGTTTATTCCAACATACAATAAACCAGTTATTGCATGCATCACATGTCAATAATCACGTTAGTAAAATTAACTAAAAAATCGAAGAATGAATTTAATAATTGGCTTGTGGCACTGACGTGCCACAAGCCAATCAAAGAATTTTTCCATTATTGCAATAACTTTATTTTTTTATTTGTATAACGTCGTGATTTATTTCTTATTTAAGAAAGAATCATCTTACCAATGATAACTTTTCAATATTGAACGGATATCTTAATTTTGAGATATTAGAATTACTAATTAATCAATTTGTATATAAGGAACATGAATTCAATGTAAGTTTCGACTAAGAAAAACTAAATAAATAAAAATAATAAATATTTTATTTTATTTAAAACTTTTATCTTCTTTAACCAAAATTATTTGCTAATCCAAAATCAATTCATTGATAACCAATTCATTCTGATCCACACAAACAAAAATACTTGTTGTCACCATTAAAATACACTCTTCCAAATTTAACCAGTGACACTATTATTGTTTGCATTTATTATTTTATCAGTAATGATTAATAAAAGGTTATCTTTGTCAGTGAACTGTTTGTAGATTGTTATTCTATTCTATTACATTGCAAAACTATAAAAAATCAACTCTATGTGAATTATGTAATGGGAAAAGCCAATAAAGAAAAGAATGAAAAAAAGGAAAGTGAAAAAATATTCATAAAATTTTTAGGATACGTGGAATTTTTCATTTTGAATAATTTTATTTAATGTATAAAGATTCATTTACTTAATAAAAAAAAAGTTTGATAGAAAAATGAAATTTAAAAATTTTTTAAAAAAGCCAAAGTTCTGATTTTTTTTAATGCTCAAATTAGATTCAAACCAGGATTGAGAAAGGAGGAAAATGTTTTATACTATAAGCTTTTAAAAGCATAATGTTTTACTTAAAGGCATTTTAAAAATAAAATTTTATTGATAGTTGCTTATTAAAAATTTTTATTTTTAAAAAAATTATCACTGCCATTACTTTTGCTGGAGACTGTAAATGTTTTTTTCCCACCATCATAACAATGTTCATGATCATCATGTTGTCATTATTTGTATATATTTTTCCTTTTTACAAGGTATTAATAAATAAATTGTGTCACCCATGTAGTAATGATACCAAAGCCATGCACAAATGAAACTTTTAATAATGCCTGTCTATCCAGATCAGAATAATAAATTATTTTCCCCTGATTATCAGTTATGGTTCCTTATGAATAATAAATCTGATGCTGATCACAGATGTCAGATTTAATAAAAATTTTCCTGTCACAAACATGCAAGTGCCTATGTAATTAAACATCAGTCAACACTGTAGAATTTTTTTTCACAAAAGAAAGGACTTGAACATATTGAAAGGCTTTGGACAAAACTTCCCTCTCTTCCTCTCAGACCAGGCTTGGTTGTTACCATATGGGCATTGATTGCTGATAACTGATAGCATGATGATTGCTTTGTGTTCAAAATTCTCCAACTCAGAAGGTTGTTGTTTTGGGTTCAGAGTTTTGAGTATTGGATTGCTGTCTTGTTTGTGGCATGTCTGCTTACCAACAATCCTACCCCCATTGATTTAAATAACAAATTCAGTTGGTCAAATAAAAATTAAAGAGAAACAGAAAATTTGGGAAAATGATTAATTTATAACATGCCAAACAAAATCTGACCATTTTTCTTGTTGGTCATATTGCTGGCAAAGATGTACATAATCATGTGATAATTTTAATCTACATGACAGAGGACTGATTGGGCAAAAACTCATTCAGTCCCCCTACCCAAAAATTATAAATTGGTTAGTATCAAAGAAACAGAGAATTTATGAAAATAATTATACAAACAAACACTATTTTACAACTTTCCTCTTAACATTAGAGCCCAAATGCAATTTCAGAGCCACCAACCCTGCTCTGAATTGGAACTTGTGCTTGAACAAGCTGCAGATTCTCTTAATATTCATCAGCAGAGTTGTGACTTGGTCACAGTGCCATCCTTGCCCTAGAGGTGGGATTGTTGCAGGTGACTTTTCGGCTAACATGTCAGCAGCCTTCTCTGGTCTGGGAAAATTAGTGAAAGTGTCATTGACAATTGATACAGTCTCGGTAAACTCCAGATCCATGCGCCTTCTGGAATTTGGTTGCATTGTTGTATCTTTGGGTTGCCAGGTCAAGATTAGCCTTTTGTACACAAGGAAGATGTGAGAATGACTGTAAAGTGTTCAAGGTAGCAGGCATGCTTCAACATCTGCTATTTTCCTGTAATCAAACATCACATATTCAAAATGTCTCTTTCAACGGTGTGCTGCCTTGATATCTTGTAATTATAATATTTATAATAATATTATTAATGATTGCAAAAAGCAAAATATTATCAATGAAAATTTTACAATTACCCAGCAAGATCTGCTCTGTGTTTTGATTCCAATTAAAATACTTATAATAACCAAAAAAGACAATACAAGTAAAAAATAGTACCTCTAGTTAGTTATTAACACTTTCTCTTTAGGAGACCCAAACCAAACCAAACAACAACCCTCACGTTTTGTCACCTTGGACTCTGTCAAAAAAAGCATAGTGGAAATTTGAAATGTTACACTAATTTTTTATATTGTGCAACGTAGCTTTACAATACATGGCAAACATTCTGGCAATAAAAAGTAAGTGATAAACTGGATTTGAATTGGATCTGAACTTGATCTCCAATTTAGAGAGGTAACAACTATATACTGGTGAAGTTTCAGGAGCAATGAGTTCTGTATGACATTTCGTGTAACAACAAACTTCCACTATGCTGTCAAAAAATAAATTGTTTTTAATGTTTTTCCAAGAAAAAAAAAATTCAATTTGCATCTGTCCTACCAAAAAATACGAATTGGATAAATAATTAATGTGTATGCATCGATCATTCACAAACTTCTTTTTATATAATAAACATGGCAAACAGATTCAAGGATTCAAAAAAAAGAAGCAGAGAGGAGGATGCAATAGAAGTGAAAAGGTAAGTGTTTTAAGAATGGTGGTGGTGGTTATTGTCCACCACTCGTTGTCACTCTAGTTAATTAATTAAAATAGCAACTATCATTTATTTCACAAAAATTCTTACCTCTTTCTGAAAAATTCTGTAATAGGGAATGTGTGAGTATCAAAATTGATATTTATATATATCAAATATCATAAATATCATACTACTTGATTGTTTTCTGTTTTAATCAATTTTTATTACAGACTGATAAAACAGATAATGATAGCAATGATGAATATGGTAATGTCATAAATTTGGAACATCTCAAACACACAAGACCCTTTATACTGGTTGAATTAGATAGTGAAGAAGTTGATCATAGTGAAAATGATTTAGATATTGATGAATATGGTTATGATAGTGATGATGATGATTTATCTTCTGGCATTGAAATTATTAAAGATCCACTGACAATGAGTTTTGATGAATATACCTCTAATATTGATAAAAATTCTATATGGACGCTAAATGATGGACGTCACTATGGTTGCTTGCCAAAACTCCTCTGGAAATCAATCAGCAGAGTTTCGGCAGGTAACACACTAATTGTTTGTTAGAGTTTCAGCAGAGTTTCACATTTAGGGATTTCAACAATTAGCAGAGCTTCAGCAGGTTACACACCAATTGTTTATTAGAGTTTTGGCAGTCATTAAGAGGTTTCGGCAAGCAACCTTAGACATCACATAACAGAAGTATTAAATGCAGAAACTATCAAGGCAATGCAATTGTATGAAGAAATGAAAGCAAACCGACAAAATCATAAATCATGTGATCAAGCATGTCTTACAGGTGTAATCAGGTGAGATTGTTTTTATTATAGCAATATTACAACAACTGACATGAAAAAAATTACTAAAATGTACTTGCTAATATCTAAATACAGACTAGGATATTCATCAATTGTTGACTTATGTTCTGAATATTCACATGGAATGTTTTCATGGTTTGGGAAAGAGTGGATAGATATAAAGAAGAAAGTATATAAGATTGTTAATATGAAACCAAAAAGTTTTGAAGGAGAAGTTAAAAAAGTTATTGATGATGTTGAACAGGAAAATAATTCATATACCTCTGTATATATGCATATGTCTTTGTATATATGTTATTTCTATCTATCTCAGATGTGTAGAATGTATGATTATAAAAGTGCAAGTGACTATCTTTATAAATTAAAATGCAAAGAAACCAATAATGACAAAATGATAAAACAAATTGCAAAGATTTATTTTTACATGTAAGTTATATTTATTTATTTTTATTTTATTTTAGAAAAAAATTTTTTTTCTTAATATTAATATTATTTAATTTTTGCTAGCATTGATAAATTTTTAGATGATCCATTTATTTTTTTTGATGAAAATGGAAAGAGTAGAGATCTGTCTGAAATGGATTATGCAATAATTATGACAGCACCAATAATTAGAATTTTGTTTAATGATGTTTTAGATGATCTGGAGCTCCATTGGTAAGAAAACCATCATTGTTGTATATTTATATGTGCAATGATATTTGATTAAATGATATGTGTCATATAGGGGTGAAACTATATCCACAGCAACTGGAGATAACCAACGTAAAATTGATTTGAGAATTGTACATAGAGGGGATGGCACAGAACTCAGTCATACAGAATGTGCCAAATCACCTACTCCAGGAAAAGCTATTCGTGATAGGTCAAAATGTTTGCAAACTTTAAAGTGTGTTCTTGATGAATATTTAAAAAAAGATTTATCAGAAAGTGATGTTAAAGACTCAAAAATGATAGGCATCCAATTTTCTGGTGAGATTCTCTATATTTGTTATGTACTAACAAATGATTTTGTATTTAATATTTGGTTTACTACATTTCCCATACCAGGATTATATGGTCAATAATAGGTGTAGAATTTCTAGATAAAGGATTGTACTTTGGATTAGAAGGATCTGCCTGCACAACTCGGAAACATCAAATGCCTTCGTAATGCACTGGAAGCTTTATATTTCTTTAAAGTAAGAGATCAAAAGAATTGATATTTTTTGTTTGTAAATTAATACTCATGTATCTCTAACTTAGGAAACTGTTGTGAAAAAAACAAAATCATTACCTATTAAAAAGGAAACAAGCCATCCTTATAATAACATTTTTCACTCTAATTCTAATGCTTTAATACAACCAAAACATTCTAAAATAGCATTCATCAGAACAACATATTTTACCCCTAAAAGGGTGAGAACAAATCAAAAATAATTTATCTTTTTGACTTTGTATTATTTAATAATTTTATTAAGCTTATGATTATACTTACACCCTGTAAAAAAAACTGATCAGTGATTTAAAATTCCATGGTTTCTCCTCTGGAATTATAATTCAAATCATGGATTATTTTTTTTATAGGAGCATTGATGATGCTACCTGCTTTTTTAATTCTTTCTTTATATATAAACTTCTTAATATTGATTTTTATTGAAGAATGGCACCTGATTGGGTGTAGTGTCAATTGATGTTGATTAATTGTGTAAATAAGTTTGATTCAACATCAATCGGGTATTAAGTTAGCATAAAAA